AACAATATATTTAATTAGATATACTCATTATCAAGTTGATTTTTAGTTTCACTCTAAGTAAATAGCTTGTTCTGTGTGAAAATTAACATTAATTTATGATTTAATTTTAGTATCGTGATCAGATTTGCAGTGAAAATGTTTTCTAAGCAATTAAAATTGATACGTTCCAACCTATGAGCGGGAATCTTAATATAATGTGCGATTAACAACAATCATAAATTCAAAGTGTATTGGTTATTATCAGCAGTGCAGGTGTTGAATTATAATTTTTAACATCAAGGTCAAATCCCTCCCATGCTGAAATGGCACATAGAATTCAGTGCTGAGATCCAGCTCAATTGGCACTGTAGTACCATGCTACACTAAATGTTTTCCATTCCTTGCAATTTAAAAGTTCACAAAAATTTTCCATCCTAATTCTCTGGTTTGGAACATGGCATTGTTTAAGTAAGTTCCTAGATTTAACTTTGCCCAGGGGCTAATTGGAGATTAGGTGCCTCCTTGTCCGATTATCATGCAGGAATAACAATGAGCTTTTTAATTAGCACGTCTAGTTATTCATGTCAGCGAATCAGGTAGTAGCTGCAGGTGGATTCATCCATGATTTTCACTATATGTTGGCCAACTGATCAAAAGGCACCACATCTAATACATTGTTGGAGCTCGAGAGAGCAGTCTTTTCATAAATTTTGCCATAGATTTCAAGAGATTTCGAAAGGCTTTACTAGAATTTCATAGGTTCTTCAGCAGATATCGTATCAGACTTTAAGCAGAATTTACTTTAGAATTTTACATTTACTGTTACTAAATTTTGTAGGTAACTTAAAGAGATTTCAGTAAGATTAGTTAGAACTCTTAAAGTTGTAGCCTACCTCGGTGGTAAGATGGTCAGTATATTATTTTTGTATAATTTTACTTTTTGAGAATGTTGCAAGTTTTCCAGTGACTGCAGAATTAACTTCTACAGTTATTTGTATGAGCAGTTGGATTAGTTCATTGAGTAAGAGTGTGAGTTCACCTGTGAGTGAACAGTGAGTTTTTGTGGCGAATTCCATCAGTAGTCTGAAAGATTGTCTACTGAGTCCATTGATATATTTCTTGTCTTTAAAAACAAGATTAAAAGTTAATGGTTTCATCTAGGGAAAAGTTAGCGAACAGAGATTAAACATCTAGACTGGTTTAATAAACCTCTTCATCAAACCTCAAGTTTCTAACATTTTCAGAAAATTCAAAGCTGTCTTTAAGTGTGTAGCTATTCAAGTAAATTCGGTTGTTTAGCATTATTTTCTTTCTTGTATTAGAGTTGGTTTTATAGATTCACATAACTTGGGGACACTCTCTTATCGAGATCCTCTTGAGATTTCATCCCCCATCACCTTAACCTTGCCAGAAGATTCTCTAAGACCATTATTGCCTTGTGATTGGCTTGGAAAGGGCTTTCCCATATCTTGCTACTTGTCTCACATGTGGTGCATTTTCCCTTGACTTGCATTGGAGCTATTACCCTCCAAGGCAAGAGGTCCTGGTCCCTGTCATACAGAATTTACATCTCAGTCATGTTAATGGCCATTATCTGGTACTGCCTTTTCAACACCAGAATCTAATCTAGTATGGGGAGTTTGTTATTACCTTTAGGTGGTTTGGACTTAAGTTCCAGCCTCAGTGTTTTCTGGGTTTATTTCCTAAGTCTTTTGGCTGGAGATTCTTTGGTGGCTGCCAAGGCATACAAACCCCCCTATGTCCTGACTGCCAGGACTCTTGCTATTAGATTAGAGGTTCTATTTTTTACCTCAAATTTCCAATATGGTGATGGTGGAGGAGGAAGAGACAGACTCTTAGTCACATGACTAGTCAGCACTGTGATTGTGTTGATGGTGACAGGAGAGGAAACTTCTGGTTTAGCCATTCCAATTGTGGTAAGCATACTACAGGTACCTGCCCAACTCTGCCATTCTAAATCCTGGCAACCCTCGAGAAGTTCCAAATTCTAGAGAGGTTTTCTTCATCTTAAGGGTATAGTGCTCCCATCAGAGGTGGGAACACACCTGGCACCATCGAGGAGTTGTGACAGAATTAGAGCTGGGCCATTTTATTGATATCAGTGAGCATCAGTTACATTGATTAGCGTCTCACAAACTAATCTATTAATCAAAATTATGATTAATCATTTAATGTCATGAAAATAATACACTAATCTAAATTAGTGTTTCTGATTTTTCTAATTATCCAAGTAATCGAAATATTGTTCTTATGTTTTGTAGTTGTTAAGCACAGAGCTACATAATTGTGAATTGCTGACTAGAGTGAAAGCAATTGGCTGGCAACACCTACCAACAATTTTTTGGCTACATAAGTGTTAAATAAAGTGCAAATTTATTGTTTTTGTTTATATTATGCCATGTCTATAATTTATAAGTAGGTAACTGTATTCTATAATGTTGTATGATCAAGTGCAGCTTGAAAGGAGAAGCTCAGAAAGACTGGAACTCCCCATTATATTTTTTCATAAATTAATAACTGTATTCTTTAATGTTGTATAAGCAGGTATGGATCTGATGTATGGACACTTCCATTTTTCAGGAATTCATAACTGTATTTTGTCATGTTGTATGAGCAAGTGCAAATCTAGAGTTCCTGACTTAAGTTTTTAGGAATTAATAACTATTCTTTAATTTGGTATAAGCAGGTATGAATCTAGGGGATGGGTACAAGGGGCCAAACCCCTCTACCCATTTTTCTGTAATAACTGTATCATCTAATGCTGTATACGTAGGTGCAGTTCTAGGGGCATTTCTGCCCCCCCCCCCACAAACACTGTTCAGAAATTAATAAAAACAGTTTTACACTACCAATATAGTATCAAAAAGAAACATTAGAGTCAGTGTTTCATTTCATTGGGTTATCAATTACCGTGCCCTCAGTTATTCAATGGTAAGTCTGATAGCTTATAACAATAAAAACTGGTTTTCAATACCTATGATAGGCACAGAACAGACAGCCCATCCTGTAGCTTTGTGCTTGACAACAAACAATCATTATTAAAACTTTTCTGTGGTTTTCTGAAACCAACACAGCTGGAGTTTACAGGAACTCAGTTAAGGTATCAGCTAATAACTGAATTAACTGATAATCAACAACAAGGGCATCAATCAAATGTTACCATGGTAAATTTTCTTCCTTGGCTATTTCCAGACACTCTAACAATATGTCTAGACTTTAAGAGATTTGCCTTCATAAAAATCAGTATAGTTTCGACTCAGGTAGATCTGATAACATTGACTTGTTACAAAATCGATTTTTTATTGTTCAGAAGTTAGAATTCTTATGTCAAAGATGTATTTAGTATTGCTGATGTCTAAAATAAGTGAAAGTACAAGTGGTGTGACTATAACTATTTCATTTCTATAAAACTGTTTATTTCTGTTTTTATTTTCATATCAATCACGTTACTAGCAACAAAGATACAAGCTTTGAAACAGCTGTATTATAACCTGACTGAATTAATAATCTAAAATTATATATTATCATTATTTTAACTTTGTGCGAGTTATTTAGGTTACTTTACGACCATATGCACCACAATGATTAATCCAAAATGCCATAATATTATAGTGGAAGTCTCTTTTTCATATTACAAATAGTGAAACTTTGGTTATAGTATTATGCAGTTAACTTTAAAAAAATATACCATCATCATAAAAATGCAATATTTCTGCGAGTTTGGGTAAGGTCTCTTCCCTCTTGTGTATCCTGTTCCAGAACTTTGCTGTGGATACTTCCTTCTGGTGTGACACTCCAAACCTGTTGAACAAGGTGGCTACCATAGAAAAGAGCATCATTGAGGTAGAAAAAAAAACATTGGTAACAGAATAAAACATCTGGAAAATGAATTATTAAATGCAAAGGTTAAATCTGCTACACCTCTTTCCAGCCTAGAATGCCATATGTTACAAAATATAAAATAGTAGAACTTAATTGGTATACATCTATCACTGCTACTGCTTTGCTACTTAAATCAGCTACACCTCTTTCCAGCCTAGAATGTCATATGTTACAAAATATAAAATAGTAGAACTTAATTGGTATACATCTATCACTGCTACTGCTTTGCTACAAATTACTGGAGGACCTTCATGGGCTACTTTAGCCATGACACTACCAAATCAAGTTCCAAACTGAGCTGGTCAATTCAGTATCAGCTAACTATGGTGGGAATGTATCGTGGGAGGTATACCACTCTCAGTTTTAAACCATCTCTAGAATGAATGGGTAAAATAGTGAACAACTGGATATTCATCATGCTACAATTTAAAAGGAACAGCTTTAACAATATAAAGTAACTTTTCAGCAGAGAGACATAACTACCAAGCCTTGTTATTGATATTTTTCTTTTCTTCACATCTGACTTCACCATCCTCTAGTACTACTTCTTCAAACTTGTCATTACAACCTTTCTATGCTTCTTTGATCTTATTGTTGTAATCTCTCTGTACATCCCATTAGTTTAATTGGTCTGGTCTTCAATCATATTTTTTCTTTTAAGGGTATGTCTCTTTTTTGTCACTCCTCCCTTAAATTTCTGTCTCTTACTTCTTGGTTTTCTTTTAATTTTCTGTCTCATGTCTCTTGATCTTGCCTTAGTAATTTCATCATCTCAAGTAATGCTTCAGTCTCACTATTTAACATCACGTTTGCCATCTTCAACAGTCTATGTTATATTTCAAGTATATTCCAAATTCTATTTTCCCCAAAATAAACCCCCACTTCATGCATCAGTGTTGTAACATTGATCATTCTTGAATCTTTGATGGGTTATCTTAAATAAACTGATAAAAAAATTCAACATATAGTACACACAACAATCACAAATTATTTTATTTCCTCCTTTAATATTTATGCAAACTTGAACACTTGTACACTATCGTAAATTGTTTTAGGCCTACGTTACAAATCTAAGAGAACTAAGATTAACGTAAAAATAATCACTAAAATAAACTTACATGTAGTTGTACAAAGTATCTCAATAAACTTGATGGTTAACACATGTCCAAATTACGTCACACACCAACTGAAACAACTCTCTACTTTCTTGAAACAATAGCTTAATTTCTTAATTATTTCGAATACCCTAAAATTTTATATTACATACTTAAAACTTTCTAGGTGATTTAGGCTTGTCTTATTTAACCTTTTGATCTGAACGTCATCATTAAAACCCGCAGCTCCCTCTAGCCAAAAGTTTATATTACATCTTTAAAAATATAGCTTATATGTTAAATCAAAGTTTAACGACGTATTTTACACGTTGATAAAAAACTGTTATTTGGAAATTGGAGAAAACCCATCAGTTCAGTTTAGTGATATTTTATTCTTAACTTTAAAAAGTAGGATAATAAAATGTATCATGAATTTTCTGTCAATGTCCTAATGGAAACAAACCATATCGTACAGTGTATGTAATTCCATGTTTTCCATCTACTTAAAAATATTAAGAAATGATAATATCTTACCAAAGTGTAGGATTATTTATTTTTGAGCCTAGGTCTTAACCTTTTATTTTCAGCATGCTCATTTTTCAAAATATTCATTCAACAATTTAATATGGAGGTTTTTATAAAGTGAGAAGCTGATAGGGCTGGACAAGTTGAAGTTGATGTTTACTGTTACCAAAGTATAAGGTTACTGATTATCCTTAATAAAAAATTAAATTTTTTAAGAGAAAATTTTGGACTCACCCGTAAGTTTGTTCTTTTTAAATTGTTCTCGGGTTTTATTTCTGTAGGTTTAAAATTTCCCGAGAAAGTTATTTTATATTTTAACACTGTCACAAGAATAGCATACTCAGTAGGCCTAATCGTACAACTATTGAACTAGTAATACTAATAGTATAACTTACCAATATCACTTCGTTTTACTATGTCACTAGGCCTAGTATTAGTAAGTAGTAGTACTTGATTAAGGAAGCATGTTATGCTAATATAATAATAGGTAGGCAAACAACGATTTATAAGCATAAGGAAAAGTTTTATTGATGATGGAACATACTACATGTTTCGACAGAACAATGAAGAAAACAGACCAATGTTCTGTCGAAATATGTAGTATGTTTCACCATCAATGTAACTTTTTCTGGTGCTTATAAAATAAATAATTGTTTGCATACCTATTATTAGTATTAGTAAGTAGTAGTACTTACAATTAATTGTAAACTGACTTTGACTGATTAACACCACAGAATACTGTAATTACTATAGTAACCCACAATAAAGTTTACAGCTGGAAATGCATCAAGAATAAAGCTTAAAAGACTTAATGTGAAATATTTTTTATGTGCTAATTCTAAGTAAATAAATAATTTTATATCATAATAAACATTACAATATTACTTTTTCAATGAATCAAATAACAAACAATTTTCTCTCAAAGTGCAACAATAAGAAAATCGGCAAGATTTAATATGAAATAAGCTTTTAGAAAGAAAAATTGATACTTATAAACCTAATGGTTTTAACTGCAAAATGTCAAAAGTGAGATGTTAGAAACACCATTTTGATAATGCTATTTCTGGTATTGTGGTAACACTAGCAATAGACAAAAGGAGTTTTGGTCGAAAAATTAGTGCAGTTTTTTAATTATCATTGAAGCATTTTCAACCTTGGTGTCCTCCCCAATTTTGATACTTACTGCATGCACCAACTTTCCCAGTTTAATCTTTTCATTGCCAGTCCTTTTCTACGTTTAGCGAGTTTGTGTGGATTGACCTAATTTTCTCCTGTGATACTTTAGGTCTTTCATGTCTTCTCTGCTCATTATTTGATAAATTAGATTTTTAAAATTCTTTTACCATCTGAATTACTTTAGTTTAAGTTTGCATTTCAAGTTTGTTTATTACTTTGTTATTTTGTTTAATTTTTGGTATAGGTATGGATTTTGAACAATTGTTACTATTTGGGTAATTGTAACTTTGGCCAATTTTGTGGGTGTGTTAATTCATTATTTATACTTTATTTCACTGTTTATGTTAGTTTGTAAATTTCTTTTTCTTTACTACTAGTCACATCTAATTGGGGATTAGATTTGAGTCTAATTTTGTTATTGTCAACTGGGTGCTTTTTCATTCTCATGTTTTTCAGGGTAGGTTTTACTTTCATATATTTTGTCCTATTGGCTCTTTGAGTGGACTTATAAGTTTGATATTTACATGTCTTTTAACTTCTAAGTTGCCTTAGTGGTATTGTACTTTAGGTGTTGCTTATTGTTTTGTTTTAGGTCGATATTCATAGTTTTGTAAGTAAGTTATTTTTATGTACTTTGTAGACTACAGACCTTGGTCCATTCTCTGTGGATTCAACCCCCTCCTGTCCTTCAACATCTCATCTTTCCCAGTTTGTTGCCTGGTTGTTTGATCAGGGTTAGTCTGTGTCAGCTGTTTTCAGTTATAAGGCTGCCCTGTCGAACACATTCTGATTCTTCCATTTCCAGAAAGCTTTCTCCTCCATTGTTATTTTCATTCCTTTCATCTTGTCTGCCACATTGGATTTCAGTTTTGTCCTTCATGCCCTGTCTAGTTCTCCAGTTGAACCCATTGCTACATTTTTTTTTTGTACCATCTTTCTCTTAAGTCCTCTTCATTCTTGCATTAGGCTGTCATTCCGATATCTATGCCATTGTTGTTTCCCGCATCCTTTACCATTCTTCTTATGTTATCCTCTATCCTGGGGTGTTCCTGTAAGACCACCAGCAGCTTGTCTGCTGGTATGTGTATCTATATATTTTTTTTTTACTAAAAGTTACTAGTTTCATTTATAAAGGACCATCACTCATGGACCTCATGAGTAAAGCAGGTGGGGATTTCTTCCCATCCCTACTGATCCGTGATTCCTACAATCGAGGTCTGTTTGCATTTCAGAATAGGGAATTGCAGACAGCAATTGCACTTTCTCTTCCAGTGGAGCACATGAATCCTTACTACTTCCGGTTTGCAGTTGCTACAGTGGCGGAACATGGAGGTTTCCTCTTGAGTGGGTTTTGAAAAACAAAATAAAACTTTATAGTCCATGTGTACCCACTCAGTGAGAATAGGGCTATAGTTGTTACAATCATTACCATACCGAACAATGAATTATACAATAATATTCAGTATCCAAGGTACTTCCCCAAGATGTTTTTGTCTGGGCAGACCACACTTGTTGATATGTATATCTTATGCAAGGCACTTCCACTGGATGTTTTTGCCCTGATGGAGTGCACTTGGCATAATCCTATGGACCCAGGGTACTTCCCCTGGATGTTTTTTACCCGGGTGGCCTGCACTTGGCCTATTCAAATACATTTCATGATCCTTAAGCCCTAGCCACATATTGTTATTCTCTCTAGCTCATTTAGTGGCACCATACTGTGACTCACTATCACTATGTTCAGTGCTATGTCTTGTTTCTGACGGTGGCTCGTTATGACATGAATGTGGACAGAAGGCTACTAATGATGACCCCTACGATCACACTCATAACTGTAATTTATATCTTTTATAATCCTCCGAATCCAAGGTATTTCCCCTATTTTTTTTTTTTGCCTGGGTGGACAGCAGCAGTTTATTGCTATGTCTTTTACAATGCATTTCCACTGGATGTTTTGCCTGGATGGAATGCACTTGGTGTAATCCGATGTAACCCAAGGCACTTCCTTTGGCTCATACATATACGGGAAAGTGGTTGCATAAACATGAACCTTTCCTCATTTTTCAACACCATATTGATTCATATCATAGTTATCCAGCACTTCCTACACTGATTCAGTGCTGTATATCTCTTTATTGACTTCAGTTGTGCCTATCAATTCAGTTTTGCCCCAGTTATGTTACTGTATTGATTGCTGGGAAAAGAGCACACCTGTTCCTGAAGTAGTGCTGTTCTCCACTGGTGTGCTTTCTTTTCATATTCTAGCACACCTATTCTTTCAGTGCGATTGCTTTCCACTTGATTTGAGATTGATGTGCCTTCACCGGCCCCTCCACCTTAGCCATGTGGGATTCTAGCTTTGGGTGAATGGAGGTAGTACCGTTTTTGGAACTTAACACTTTCATACTCTGAACATGTATTTCCAATAGGTACTTACCTCATTTCATCCACTTCCCACCCTTCCTCCCCACTGAGATGCCAGTGTTTATGGTTTATGCCTGCCAATTTTTGAAAATGAGAATTGTTCTAGAATAGTAGAGGGAGCTAGCTGCTCCAGTATATATTGTGCAGTATAATAGGTGAAGAGTAGTCACATGATCACCACATGTTCTGAAATGGCACAAGACTGATGGGGTATAAAGACTGGTACACTGTAGCAAAATGTTTTCTAGCAAATGCTTAGAGGGCAGACCAGGATCGAGGTAGCTGTGGGTGAGAGGAGGTAGGTAGGTACCTATCAGAAATACATTTTCAGAGTAGAAAAATTTTGAGTTTGAAAAACGTGAACTATGGAAACAATCAATTCCATTATAAAGTCATCATAGTTGTTATATCTTTAGAATTTGTAGGAAAACCATATTTGTTTCAAACGAAACATACAGCATAATTTTTTCTGATAAGATAATTTGATAGTTTAGAAAGGATTTCAAGTGGCAGAGCCATAATTGAAGTTTCATTAAACTTCAATTATGCAATGTATCTCGTTTTAGAATAATATACGGTGATCCCTTTTATTTTTAAGGGCCATAGATCTTTGTCCTTTTATAGTTATACGGGGAATGATAATATTTAATTTATTATTATGATTTTGTAATAAGAAATGACTGTTAATGCTAACAACACTTCATAATTGATAAGGAACTAATATTTTCTGAATTTCAATATATTTTTTTTTCATATTAGTTTCTAACTCCAGATCCATACTGAATGTATATTTTCCAAGAATCTATTACATACGTACATACGCAGAAATTAATTTTTTGATTGAATGGACTATGGTTTAAGTAATTATTTAAAAACTTATTGTTCATGCTATTCTGTACCTGTTTTTTTTTGTCTGCTTTTCAGAATTTCACCTTGAAGACTCAAATACAAACAAACATGTGATCAGAAGACTGTAGGTTTATGGGAAAAAAAAGTTTTCTTCATTTGATGAACTTTCTATTTGACAATAAATCTTGGATTTTATTACCATTAATGACACTACAATTGTTTTTGTGTTTTCATATGTAATTTATTTTATGTCTCTAAGCATTGGCTTTTGCACATCATATATATGAATCATTATTTCATGAAATGGATTCGAGTGGAGGTACACATCGGAATTCTGATTTGTCCAGTGAAGAAAGAAAAGATGTGATATATACAAAACATGAAAGTCCTTCTAGCCATGAAGGTACATGCAGTGAAGTTTCTGAAAGTCATGTTCAAGGTCAACTTGTTGGTTATTTAGAAGTTGAAGACAGTGACATTAATTCCGATGAAAGTATTATATGTTTGCCCCGGCAGATAGAAATTGATGGGGAGCATGTTATTTTGACTCACGATGAGCATGGTGGTGAGATAATAGTCGTCGTCAGTACATCCGAAGAAGATATTCAGTCTCAGACGGTGAATTCGGGAAATGTAATGCTTGGCGGTGACCTAGAGAATTTCAGTGAAGGTCGATCAATAGGTTATGAAGAGCACTCTATGGAAGGTGAATATATGTTTCAAATTGGTGAAAGCCTAGAAGCCACTGAGTGTAGTATTGCTTGTTCTAAAACACCTGGTACCTTTGTAGATAATCAAAATGTAATTGAATGTCATGATGACATTAATAATCTCGGCAAAACTGTTATTGAAGATGTAGATAACTTAACTATTGCCAATAACAAAGAAAGTCTTACTAAAAAACACTCCAATGCTGCTTTATCAAAAAATTTGAAAAATAATTCAGAAAAAATGAGAGGTAACTGTTCCAGCTCAGCTGCTATGGATTTGTCATTCACTAATACTGAAACTAATTTATCTTCTGAAGACTGCAGTGAAAACGTACATGTTAGAGAAAATGAAGATTTGTGTGAATGGATTAGAGAACCTGTAGTGTCTAAGAGTGAAAACAAATCAGTGCCTTATTCTATTCAAGAACAGGAATTCATTCAGTCTGAAAGTTATTCAAATTATGAACAAGAATTACATAAAAATAATAATTTTGTATCAGGTTCAGCAGTTGTGAGTGATGCAGCAGGTTTTGATAATTTGATTTTCTCTAAACAAGCAGCAAATGATGAAAAGTGTACACAGCATGAACAGTTTGAACCATTAGATATTGTAGTTGATGATAAGAGTAAAAAAAGTTCTGAAAGTGAATTAAAAGAATATCAAGAAGGTTCATCAACTGAAAACGAAACTGAGAGCAAAAAAGATTTACCAGTTGGTGGACTTTGTATGGAAAAAGATGATCTTTCTCTGTCATCAAGTAAACAGCTTTTCCTAACATCACAGAATAGAACTAGTGATACAGTCAAAAGTGGGTTAGAAAGAGATAAGCCTAATCAGTGTAGGAGTACAAATGTAATCACATTTGCTCACTCATCACAAAAGAATGTTTATGAGGAGGAGATAAGATACAAAGACTATTCAAAGCTAGATAAAGAGATTGCGGCTGTTCAGGATAACCCCTTTTTTAAAGTGTTTGAGAAAGATGAAATCTTATCTTCAGATGTTGAACAAATAAAAACTCAAAATTCAGAAAAAACGGAATCTGTTATGGATAAAATTGATGGTACAGTCTCAGACAAAGGTGATTATTTAAAACAGACTTCAACTAAAAAGGATGGTAACTCTAAAATTACATGTGGAGAAACATTATCAACGAGAGAAGAAAATACAAATAAGGCAAGTACTGAACTTGTATGTGATAGTAAAGGTGTGAAGATGCATTCTGACACAGAAGAAAAAAGAAAGTTTTCTAATTGGCTTAAAGAGGCCTCAGAGATGGGAGAAACAAGAAATGATTATGAAAATAATGTTTCTAGTAATACCCCATTTAATATTTTGGATGAAAAGAATAAAACAGGTAAAATAGAAGGTGCAGAGTATAAAGATCAAGAAATTAGGAAAGCCACTACAATGGAAATTGAGGCCATAGCTATAGAAGGTATTGAAGCTGGTGAGAAAGTAAATAAATTGGAGATAGAGAATCAGCTTGTTGCTGATACAACAGAAAAATTTGAAGACAAGCTTAGTGAAAATGAGGTATTCAAATTGAAAACAAATATGAGTGGAACAGAGGACAATGTTGATGCAAAAGAAAAATATGAGGCTGAAAAATCAGTGGGAGAGAAACAAGTTTATGAATCAGTGAAATTGACTGAAAATTCTCAAGCTGAAGCTGTAAATGGTGAAGGATTAGAAAATGCTACGACATCCAATAGGACTGAAGATAAGAATTGCAGAGAATTTTGTGTGGGAAAAATAGAAAGCCTTGATAAGAATATCAAAACTTTTTCATACTCAAATAAGGACACTGTAGAAGAAACTTTAGATAGCATTGAAGCAGAACAAAAGGACACAGAAAAGATGGTAGTTATATATGAAGACAGGGTGAGTGAAATTGATGATCAGGCCAGAGAAAATGTTAATATACAAAGTGCTAGGAGACCAGATAACTTTCAAGAAGAAGAAGAATTGGAAGAAAATTCTTTAGTTTTAGAGAAACAGTCTGCTACTGTGAAAATGAAACATTTTACAGCTGAAAAAAATATTGAAAGTAATAAATCCATCTCTGAAGAACATGAGAATATATTAGTTGAAAATATTAAGGATAGCACTGTATCAGTACAAAATTTTGAACCTGAAGAAGGGAAAATAGAAGAAAATGTAAAATGTGTTGAAAAATGGGACATTATCATGACAACTGAATCTCACAAAAGTGAAGAAATAGCTGAAAATATGTTTGATATGGAACAGAAAACAGCAAATATAATAGATGTGAATATTGAAAATAAAACTACCATAAGTGGAAACGTGGAGTTCTCAGAGAAACAACTTGTAGAAAATATTGAAAGTACTCTTGAAAATAATTCTATCTTAGAAGAACAGGCCATGACTGGAAATTCATTAAATAGTGCAAAAGCAAAAGAAGATCTTGTAGGAAAAATGGAATATATCACGAGAAATAGACAGAACGTTGAAACAGAAGAAAACCTGAAAGACGTGACAGGCATTAAAGGTTTCAAAACTACCAAAGGACAAGCAGGGAACAAAATATCAGAAAACCTTAACCAAGAAACAACTTTTCAGGATACTAGAAATGGAGTTTCTGAGACTGAAAGAACAAGAAGTCTTGAAAATGAAAGAAGGTCTCAAAATGAGCAATGTTTAGAAAAGCAGTTTTTGAGAACATTTTCAGAAAAAAATAAATGTAGCGAAACTTCGGAAGGTAAAGTTGAAATGTCTGTGAATGCCAAAAATAGCACTGTTAATCTAGGTACAACCACTACAGAAAACCTTGCTGCAGTAACAGTATTACAGAGTCTTAAAGATGGAACAGATGTTAAGAAAGGAACTACAGAAAATCTGTGGGAGACTCAAAAATCAGAAAACCTTGAAAGTGATAAAAGTGTTCCGAGTACTACATTAGTAGAAGTACAACTTTCACCCAAGCTTAGTGAAGATGAAATAAGTTCTCAAAGTATTATAACCTCTGAAAAACATACTTTAATTTATAAACTAGACAAAACTGATGATGTAAAAGATACCCTGTTTGCTACAACCAAGGAAATGCTGCTTACGACTGATATATCTGATAATCATGCAGACGGCAAAAGTTCTCAAGTTGAACCAACAATGAAGGAACAGTCTTTGGATGATACATCAGAAAATATTGAACACGAGAAAAATGTTCAATGTGCACCACCAACAGCACATTTTGTGACTGATTTGTCAAATGATGTTATTGATCGAAAAAGTGTTGAAATTGAGTTGATAATGGAAAAACAGCAAATCTGGAAATCAGAAAATCTGGAAACAGACAAAAGTGGTAAAAGTGCACAAACAACAGAACAGTCTGTGTCTGAAATATTTGAAGGTAATTTAAGTGACAGAAGTGTTCTTACTACTGGAATAAAAGAACAACAGTCTGTAGCTGAAGATCTTGAAAATGAAAGAAATATTCAAAAGACACCAACAAGAAATGAACATTTTGCAACTGAAATGTCTGAAAATCTTATAAATGACAGAAGTTTTCAAAATGTGCCAACAATACAAGAACAGTCTGTGAGTGAAATATCTGAATATATTGTAGATGGTGAAAGTGTTCAAATAACAGAAAAATATTACGTGACACCAATATCAGAAGATGTAAAGAACACAAGTACTGAAATAACATCAAGCAAAAGACAATCTGTGAGTGATATAAAAGAAACTTCTCAATGTGTTTGGGCTTATCAAGATACACCAACAACACTAAAACAATCAGAAGTATCGAAATATCTTAAAGATGGTGGAAATGTTGAAGTTTCACCAAAAGAAAAACAGTCTGTGAATGATGCACCAGAACTT